CCAGCCTGGGCAACAGAGCGAGACTCTGTCTCAAATTAAAAAAAAAAAGAAAGAAAGAAGCAACAGATTTCCATCAGCCCCAGATCTCTGTGTTCCCCGTCTCGTGCTCTACCCAGCACCGCAGACACTGCCAGCCCCTTGCACGTGCTGGGGCCCCCTGACCTCACACTTGTAACAGCCAATGTGAAAACTTCGATCCAGAGCAACAATTCTCACAGTCTCCTCCTGACCTGGCTCAGGCATTATGGCCCCACCGCACACTGAGCATCTTGGGGCAAACTTCCTGCGGGGGAAGAGAACCAAGAAGGCCATCAAGCCTTGGGGTTGCAGGGCACCAACAATGGAACCCAGAGAAGGTGGGGCATAGGAGGGATTCAGGGAGGCCAGAGGTATGACCTTAGGTCTTGGGGAAGGGATGATGTCAAAGAGAATGAGAGAGGCTAGGTGCAGTGGCTCTAGCCTGTAATGCCCCCACTTTGGGAGGCCAAGGCAGGAGGATTACTTGATGCCAGGCGTTCAAGACCAGCCTAGGCAACACAGCAAGACCATGTCTTTATTAAAAAACAGAAGAAGACTGGGTGCAGTGGCTCACGCCTGCAATCCCTGCACTTTGGGTGGCCGAGGCAGGTGGATCGCTTGAGCTCAGGAGTTTGAGACCAGCTTGGCCAACATGATGAAACCCTGTCTCTACAAAAAATACAAAAAAAAAAAAAATTAGCAAGGCGTGGTGGCACACGCCTGTAATCCCAGCTACTCAGGAGGCTGAGGCAGGTGAATCACTTGAACCCAGGAGGCAGAGGTTGCAGTGAGCTGAGATCCTGCCACTGCATTCCAGCTTGGGTGACAGAGGGAGACTCCATCTCAAAAAAAAAAAAAAGCTAACAAAAAACGAAGAAAACTAGCCAGGCATGGTGGCGTGTGCACCTGTAGTCCCAGATACTCAGGAGGCTGAGGTGGGAGGATCACTTGAGCCCAGGAGTTGGAGGCTGCAGTGAGCTATGATCATTTGCCATTGCACTCCAGCCTGGGCAACAGAGTGAAACTCTTGTCTCTAAAAAATAACAATAACAAAGAATGAAGGAGGGCCAGGGGTGGGAAACAGGAAGAGACAGTCCTGGGGCATGAAGAGATGAAAGAGACAGGAAAGGTCAGACATTGTGAGACGAGGTGGAGCCTGGGCCTGACCTGTGAAAGTCCTCAATGCAGTGGATCTGGCTCGTAGCATCCACCGTGAAGGGGATGCCGTCGAGGCCACGGTGACACACCACGCAGGTGAAGCAGCCAGGGTGGTAGGCTTTCCCCATAGCCCGCAGGATCCGGTCCAGGATGGGCTGGGAGCACGTGGCACATTTCTCCAGGGTGGCCTGTTGGGAAGGAAGGCAGGAAGGTCTGGGAGCAGGCGGGAGCCAGGGCAGCACAACAGGCACCCCAGCAACCCAGCCATCTAATTTCTGCAGCCCCCTGCACGTAATTCGGTGAAAGGCAGACTTGACCAGATCTGAGTTCAGGTCCCAGCACTACACACAGTATTTAACCACTATGAGAAAAACAGGCATCAGGCTGGGTGCAGTGGCTCACGCCTGTAATGCCAGCACTTTGGGAGGACAGAGTGGGCGGACTGCTTGAGGCCAGGAGTTTAAGAACAGCCTGGCCAACATGGTAAAACCCTGTCTCTACTAAAAATACAAAAATTAGCTGGATGTGGTGGTGGGCACCTGTAATCCCAACTACTCGGGAGGCTGAGGCATGAGAATCGCTTGAACCAGGGGAGGCTGAGGTTGCAGTGAGCAGAGATCGTGCCACTGCGCCCCAGCCTGGGCAACAGAGCGAGACTCTGTCTCAAATTAAAAAAAGAAAGAAAGAAAAAGAGGAACAGGAATCAGTAGTAATACCTGCCTCACAGGGGTGTCGTGGGAATCTAACACATTCTCTTTAACTGTAAGACGCTCCACACTTGTAAGAGCTGCATCCTTCCCTCCAGCCACCAGTGTTAAACTACTTGCTTGATACTTGCAGAATTCCTCTCTGTTTGTACATCACTTTCAGTCACCTGGCTTTTAGCACCGTTCCTCCTTTGGGCTTGGATGCTCTAGTTCCCACCTTGGATGGAAGCTCCCTGCATCCAGTTGCTGACTCCCTCCCCACAGCCCCAGCCACTCACCACGTAGCAGCCCTCGCAATACGCCCTCCTCTCCACGGCATAGAAATGCTGGCCCCGAAGCTGGGCCCGGCATGTAGAACACACAAAGCAGCCCACATGAAAGACGCGATCGAGGGCCACAACCCCAGCCCCGTCCCCGACCACATCTTCTCCACAGCCACCACACTGGCCTGAGGATAGGGAGAAACAGCATCAGTCTTCACAGACCCAGGAAGCCACTGTCGCCTCTGTCTCCCAGCCTCCCTTCCCACACCCCACCCGCTCCACAGCCTCAGCTCACCGAAGTACTCCCCGCTGGGCGGGTGGTTCATGTCGTGCACCAGCTTCTTCGTCAGCCTGTCCAGCTCATCCTCTGGAGGCTGGCTGAGGTGCACCTGGAAGGTGGGAATCAGGGGCTCGGTCCTACTCTAGTTCCTGATGCTGTAATACCAGGGTCCTCAACCCCCAGGCCATGGCCTGTTAGGAACTGGGCTGCACAGCAGGAGGTGAGCAATGGGCAAAGCTTCATCTGTATTTACAGCCACTCCCCATCACTTGCATTATCACCTCAGCTCCGCCTCCTCTCAGATCAGCAGGGCATTAGAGTCTCATAAGAGTGTGAACACTATTGTGAACTGTGCGTTCGAGGGATGTAGCTTGTGAGCTCCTTATGAGAATCTAATGCCTGATGATCTGTCACTGTCTCCCATCACCCCCAGATGGGACCGTCTAGTTGCAGGAAAACAAGTTCAGGGCTCCCACTGATCCTACATGATGATGAGTTGTATAATTGTTTCGTTATATGTTACGTTGTTATATATTACATTGTTATATATTACATTGTAATATATAACGAAACAATTATATATATTGTATGTTCTATTATTATAACAGAAATAAAGTGCACAATGAATGTAATGTGCTTGAATCATCCCGAAACTATCCCCCTCCCATCGCCCTCCCCAGTCCATGGAAAAATTGTCTTCCCCAAAACTGGTCCCTGGTGCCAAAAAGACTGGGGACTGCTGTAATGTCCCTGAAGGTGGCCAGGCAATTCCAGCTAGAAAGCTCATCTGAGAACATCTCAGCCCAGGGGCCCGTGGGCAGTTCTTTTTTTTTTTTTTTGAAACGGAGTTTTGCTCTTGTTGCCCAGGATGGAGTGCAATGGTGCGATCTCGGCTCACCGCAACCTCCACCTCCCAGGTTCAAGCGATTCTCCTGCCTCAACCTCCCGAGTAGCTGGGATTACAGGCACGCCCCACCATGCCTGGCTAATTTTGTATTTTTAGTAGAGACGAGGTTTCTCCATGTTTGTCAGGCTGGTCTCAAACTCGCGACCTCAGGTGATCCACCCGCCTCAGCCTCCCAAAGTGCTGGGATTACAGGTGAGCCACTGTACCTGGCCCCAGTGAGCAGTTCTATCCTGCTCCCCCATACCACGGCCCCGCCCTTACCTGTTCCACATCCCAGACCTCTGACTCTGCTCCAAAACCAGCCCCTTAGCCAGGCGTGGTGGCTCACCCCGTCTCTACTAAAAATACAAAAATTAGCCGAGCGTGGCGGCGCATGCCTGTAATCCCAGCTACTCGGGAGGCTGAGGCAGGAAAATCACTTGAACCCGGGAGCCAGAGGTTGCAGTGAGCCAAGATGGCACCACTGCACCCCAGCCTGGGCAAACAAGAGCAAAACTCTGTCTCAAAAAAAAACCCAGCCCCCTAAAACACCACCAGCCATCCCACCCAATCAGTGTCCCATTGCCTGTAGGACCTGAAATCCCAGTTCCCCAGGGCTTACCTGGGGCCCGTGCTCGCCTCCTCTTCCTCCTCCTGCAGGGCCAGAGACCCCAGCAGCTTCCTCTTTGGCCCCTGGCCCTGGCTCTCTCTGGCTTCTATAGCCAGGCCCCCAGACTTCACCTCGGCCTGGGAGAGGAAAGTGGGGACCCGGGAGGGGCCCAGAGGCCTGAGAGGCTCCCCGCCTGGGTGGGCCACAGCCCCTCACTGGCTGTGCCACCTTCACTTGTACGGGGAAGGCCGGACCAGCTGGGGTGCTGGCAGTAGCATAGGAGGCTGGAGTGGGGCCCCCATAGGGAGACGCTGGGAGCGGCGAGGCTGGGTTCGGCTTCAGGGAGCCCGTGCGGTAGGCAGGAGGTGGCAGGGGCTCGTATGCCTAAGGAGAAATGCAGGCCAGAAGCCGTAAGCAAGGCCCCCACTCCAGGACCCACATTTGTGGAAATGACCCTGGGTGTGGGGAAGCACAGGCTTTTGCATTTGGCAAGGTCCCGTCCTCAAGTGGCTGACATGTTGGTACTTGCAGCCGTGCTTCCTCCATGCTGAGGTGCACATCACATACATCGGGGGGTCGGGCTGGGTCTGAGAGTCCAGAGAAGGGGGCAGGGTGCCGATGGGGAGGAGGGGCAGAGTCACCTGTCGCTCTGGTCGCCGTGGCACATGACCCCGACCCCCATTCAGCTCGGCCAGCGTGCTGCTCAACAAGTCTATCTCGGCATCCAGGCTTCCGGGGCGAAGGCCTCCCCTGTCTGCAGGGAGCCCCTGAGGATGAAGCCAGAGCAGGGAAGAATGCAAATCACCATAGGCCTTCTCCTGTGCTGGGTCCCCCAGACTCGGTTCTAGGGACGCCGCACATCCCACCCCGCAACCCAGTTCTCACCTGCGTGCGCTGGAGTACTCCGTGGGACCCCACCCAGGCCGGCCCCCGATCCTCCGGTCCCCCTGGGGCCTGGTAACACTGCTCAGATGGGAGGGGGCAAAAATTGACCCTGGGGTGGGGCTGGAGTGCTGGGTTGAGGGAAGAGAGATCAAAGGTGGGGTGGCGGAGGACAGGAGGGGTGTGCATTTGGGGAGCTGCCCTCTTTGCCCCTCCTTACCTCCTTCCCCAAATCTAGGGTCCCAAGAGAGTGCAGGCGGCTGTTCCCCCCGGCTTGGGGAAGGGGTAAGAGGAAGCAGGCAGGGCGAGAGGCTGAAGCTGGAGGACAGAGGTGAGCGCCACAGCCGGGTAGCTCTTCTGTCTCACAAGGGCTGCCTTACCTGCTCCATGGGCCGGTGGAGGCCCCGGGGTGCCTCGTGGGATCGCCCTCCCCTGAGGGGCTCTGGCGGGCTCCGGCTGCTTCGGGGGCAGCCAGGTGGGCCCCGACATGGCCTGGAACGGGGGTACTCCAGACAGCGGTCTTGAAGCCCCGGGCCTCTGGCCTTCAACCCCTCTTCCGTCCCGCACCTCGTTTGGGACTCCAGAAAAGAAAACTTTTTCTGTCTTTTTTTTCCTCTTCCTCCCTAATTTTGGGGACGACCACGCCCCCGATGACGTCACCACATTCCTGGGGGAGGGTCACGTGGCCCCCTAGGCCCTAAACTGCCATTTCTCCCCGAGTCAGCCCCCTCCTGCCGAGAGGGGAGGGCTCTCCCGGGGAGCCCAAGTCACTGGGGGCTGCGGGCAGCTGGGGATGGGAGGTGCAGGCCCGGGCCAGCCTCCAAGTCCACGGATGCGTCCAGGCCCCGCGCCCCAGCCCTGCACATGGCAGCCTCACTGCGGGAGGCTGAAGGCTCCGATCTCCACTCCTCTGCAGAGCTCTCCCTTCCCACCCGCTCCCTCTCAGCTACCCACCAGCACTGCTCAGCCAGCCTGTAGTGTTTTGGTCTTTTATTCATGGTCAGCAGAGTTAGAAAAATAAAACAGAACGAAAACATCACCACCCCAGTGGGCCGGTGAGTCTGGCCAAAATGGGAAAACTGAGGTAGCCCAGAGTCACGGAGGCCTGGCCCCTAGCATCAAGGCACCAGTGAAGGGAGGCTGCGGACTCCCTCCCCTGCACGGTCGGGACAGGCGCCCAGAGTTAGTGTGCTGGAGTCCCTCTGCCAAAGGAGGTGGCATGATCCCCTTCAAACCTCCCCTGGGCTCCACGTCCCAAGGGCAGGGCCACGGGACACAGTGCTTTCCTCCTCCTCCTCCTCCTCCTCTTCCTCCTCCTCCTCCTCAGGATCCCTCCTCCTCTTCCTTCTCCTCCTCCTCAGGATCGGGATGGGCCACCTGCCTGGGCCCTCTCTACCCAGCCCTGGAGGCAGGGGCATCAGAGATCAGTGCAGGTGACTGGGGTGACCCCGTGAACCAGCAGCGTGGGGCCCAGGTCTCGGGTTAGAGTCTCCAGTAGCGCCAGGTATCGGGGGTAGCGGGCGGGATCGGCGGGCGGCCGAGGCAAGTACAGGAAGGTGAGGGCTGTGGTGGGGCCCTCGGTATCCCCACCCTCCGGCCCACCCGGCCCTCCTCCTGTGCCACGCCCCTGCTGGGCCCGAACCAGGGCGTTGGCGCTGCGTGCCAGGGCCTCTGCCTCCACATCTCCCCGCCCACTGTTCACAAAGTCCCCTTCCTCCTCCGCCTCGGGTTCCCCAGCCCCAGCCCCCTCGCCCCACACCACCTCCTGCACCTCAGCCCGGATCCTCAGTTGGCTCAGCAGCGCCCGCAGCCGCCCCTCGGCCGCCCCAGGCGCCTCCCTAGGCCCCAGGCACAGGAAGATCCGGAGCCGGGCGCTATGCCAAGCGGGCACCATGCCCAAGATGGTTGCCATCTGCAGTAGGAAGAGGCCGCAGACGTCCACGTAGCCGGGCCCACCCCGGGGCCGCAGCAGGTTGAGGGGCCACACGTCCACGTGGTGCAGCTGAGAGGTGCCCCCAGACCCCCGGCTCAGCCGCTCAGGGGGCAAGGCCCCACTGGCCCGAGCCAGCACCACATTCTTGTTCATCTTGAGGGCATCGGCCACCGTGGCCACGTAGTCCTGGGGACTGAGAGCCCGGGGGCTCCCAGGAGCCCGGGGAGGAGGGAACAGGGTACTCAGAGCTGGGGAACTGCCCTCCCTGGTACTGTCTGCAGGCTCAGAGAAAGCCGGGTCCGTCAGGAAATGGTCCTGCGGTGGGGCGTCATCGTAGAAACCCAGGACCAACGTGTTGGGCTTCATGCCACCTGGGGGCAGAGTGGGGAAGGCAGGAACAGACAGGAGTCAGGCTCACAGGCTAAGTTTACACCACGCTCCCACACGCTGACAGCAATGAGTGTCAGCCATAGGTATGACACTCCCACTGTGTACAGGCTCTCACGGCAACATTCTGCACATTTGCATAATGACTTTTCATTTTTCCTAAACACTTTCACATGCATTTATTTTATTATCTCGGTGACTAATCTCCTCCACTTAAACAGGCAAAGTTCACATTAGGATTCTTGCCACTAATGAGCACTCCAATTCTGTGGAGAGAGTAGGACGCTGTCCACTCCCGGCTTCTAGTGGGGCATCTGTTTCATGGTAGGAGATGCGAGTTTGACTCAGTTGTGCAAACCAGACACCCTGATCAGCCAAGCTGATGACCTGAATCCCCAGGGTAATAGCGTCCCAGACTCTGCTATGGAAAGATGAGAAAATGGACCAGGCAGGGCGCAGTGGCTCACACCTGTAATCCCAGCAGCTTGGGAAGCTGAGGCACATAGATCACCTGAGGTCAGGAGTTTGAGACCAGCCTGGCCAATACGGTGAAATGCTGTCTCTACTAAAAATACAAAAATTAGCCAGGCATTGTGGTGGGTGCCTATAATCTCAGCTACTCAGGAGGCTGAGACATGAGAATTGCATGAAACTGGAAGGTGGAGGTTGCAGTCAGCTGAGATCACACCACTGTACTCCAGTCTGGGCAACAGAGTGAGACTCCAGCAAGACTCCATCTCAAGAAAAAAAAAAAAAAAGAACCAGGGCTACCCAGTATGTTTACTGCAGTAAACCCTAACCCTAGTAGTGTTTACCGTAAAACCCTAATCGTGGTGGTTCATTGCATGGTATCCGCTTACCAGGGGCTGTGTCCTATAGAAAGCACTTTGTATTTTAACTTATTTGAACCTTGAAGTAATGCTATGAGGTAGGTACTATTTAGTCTCCTCTTTTTACTGATAAGGAACCCAAAGCACCAAGCGATGAAGTCACTTGCCCACAGGCTCACGGCTGGTAGGTACTGGGGCAGGTAGGTCAACGCAATCCGCCTCCACCCAGCATGAGAGGCCACACTCTGAGCCACTGAGCTGGGCATGTGCCAACCACAATGCTCCAAGTCCCTGCTGACAAGCTCTTGGTTCTTAATGTTTGAACAACCCATGTGGAATCGGATAATTGCCCCCTTGAACCAGGCTGAGTTTACAGGGAGACGCGGAGACGTCTTCCAAGACCCCTTCTCCTGAAGCAAACATTGCTCAACCCATAAGTCAAATTTTCTATGATAGGAGAATCCACCATTTAAAGGAAATACTTTTCCTTTTATTGGAATAGGTTGGTGCAAAAGTAATTGTGGTTTTTTTTTTCCCATTAAAATGGCACCCCAGCACTTTGGGAGACGGAGGCAGACCTGAGGTCGGACGTTTAACATCAGCCTGGGCAATGTGGTGAAACCCCATCTCTACTAAAAATATACAAAAATTAGCCAGACATGCTGGCGTGTATCTGCAGTCTCAGCTACTTGGGAGGCTGAGATGGGAGAAGCACTTGAACCCGGAAGGCAGAGGTTGCAGTGAGCCAACATCGTGCCACTGCACTCCAGCCGGGGGCACCAGAGTGGAGACCTGTCAAAAAAAAAATGCAACAAAAAAAACCGCAATATGCTTTTGCACCGACCCTGGTAGTCTTCCCCACAGGAAAACTTTCATGAAGCATTGTGAGTCTCTGCACAAAAGTGAAGGACCAAGGCTCTCAGCACACATCTGGTGGGGTCAAGGATGCTTGAGACCACCCACAGCACCATCCTTTTCTCAAAATGTCAGGTGTCGAAACTCCAGCGTGATCTTGCCAAAAATAAACTAGTACATGGCCCCCCTCCTGAGGTATTTCCCAGGGTTCTGATTTCACCTTGACTGCGGCCAATGTCCAACACTGGTTGGAACTTCAGCCAGAACTCATGAACTGAGAATGCGGAAGCATGCACCTTTGGTGACAGGTACTGGGTCCCAGGGATTAAGGGGAGAAGGCAGTGACTGAGCATAAGATAACCCCGGTGGCCTTCAGTGCTAAAAGCTGAGAACTTCACTTGCTCCTCCACAGCGTCCTTGCCCATCACAGCTCTCGCATCCTTGTGCGCTTCCGGGGTCATGTGTGCGGGCTGGGGAAGACACAGTTACTTCTCCTACATCCCAACCCCCTTTCAAATGCCCTGGCTGAATTACCATTTCTCTGCAAACCTTTGCCCGGCCATATGCAGTGCAGTAGTGGCTGGCATGCCTTCCTCTCTGAACAGCTGGGTGGTTAAAAACCACCTGATTTGGATGAGGCAGCTGGGGATTCAAATAACTGCTGCCATTGTCCCCAAAAATTACACTCTTGCAGTGCCCCAGTGCCCCAATTTTTTGGTGTCATGTAAAAAAAAAGAAAGATAAGGGCCAGGTGCCTGAATCCCCAGCACTTTTGGGAGGTCAAAGTGGGTGGGGTCCACCTGAAGGTCTAGGGAGCCAAGCCAGCCTGGGCAACCAAGGTAAACCCCCCCTAACTCACTAAAAAAACCCGAAATTAGCCAGGGGTGTAAGGCACAACGCCTGAAATCCCAGCAGCTACTCGGAAAGGCTGAGACAGGAGAATCACTGGACTGGAGGGGGAGTGCGCAGTGAGCCAAATTGTGCCACTGCAGCTTCCAGCCTGGGCAGACAGAGCGAGACTCCCGTCTCAAAAAAAAAAAAAAGGAAAAAAAAAAAAAAACCGCAACAGCATTGCCAGGTGCCCTAGCATCTCCTATCTTAGAACTTTATCACCACACTGTCTGAAGGCTATATTCTTTTGAGGCACCGTCTTATCTGCTTCTCCAACTATAGGTCCTTTTGCAGTTTGCAATCTGGCGGCTGACTCCCTTAGGGGTGGAAGAGTGGAGATGTGAGTGTGCCACAGGAGGAGGGCCAAGGGGCATCCAGGAGGAGCAGCTCACCGAGGCGCGAGGATTCGCAAGGAGATGGGCTGAGCCCCCCCTGGCGCGAGGGGAGGGTGAGGAGAGTTAGATCACAAAGGCCTTCACCTGGGGGGGCGCGGGTGCAATGCAGGCTGAGCCATTGCCCCCATACTGCGGCGTGTACAGGGTCCTCCCCCCCGAGGGAGGGAGTTACAGAGAGATAACGGAAAGGAGGGTGCCAGTGGCGCTTTGGGGGCCAACACTCTCAATGTTCTTCCTAGAGTTCCAATCACAGGATGTGGCCAAGGGCAGGGCTATGGCTGCTTGGAGGGTTCCACTGCGGAAGGGAAATAAAATGGACAAAAAGAACGGGCCGGGGCGTCGGTGGCTCAAGCCTGTATAATCCCAGCACTTGGGAGGCCGAGACGGGCGGATCACGAGGTCAGGAGATCAAGACCATCCTGGCTAACACGGTGAAACCCCATCTCTACTAAAAAATACAAAAAAATAGCCGGGCGAGGTGGCGGGCGCCTGTAGTCCCAGCTACTTGGGCGGCTGAGGCAGGAGAATGGCATAAACCTGGGAGGCGAAGGTTGCAGTGAGCTGAGATCCAGCCACTGCACTCCAGCCCGGTTGGCAGAGCGAGACTCCATCTCAAAAATAAAAAAATAAAAAAATAAAATGGGAAGAAGGGCTGGTGTCATGGCTCATGCCTATAATCCCTGCACTTTGGGAGGCCAAAGTGGGAGGGTTGCTTGAGCCAGGAGTTCCAGACCAGCCTGGGAAACATAAAAAGACCTCATCTCTACAAATTAGCCAGGCCTAGGGGCTCACACCTGTAGTCCCAGCTACTCAGGAGGCCAAGGCAGGAGGATTGCTTGAGCCCAAGAGGTTGAGGCTGCAGTGAACTATGATGGCACCACTGCCCTCCAATCTGGGTGACAGAGCAAGACCTTGTCTCAAAAAAAACAGGGGGAGGGGGACTGGTCATGGTGTCTCATGCCTACAATCCCAGCACTTTGGGAGGCCGAGGTGGGTGGAGCATTTGAGGTCAGGAGTTCGAGACCAGCTTGGCCAACAGGGTGAAACCCCTTCTCTACTAAAAATACAAAAACTAGCTGGGCATGGTGGTGTGTGCCTGTAATCCCAGCTCAGGAGGCTAAGGCAGGAGAATCACTTGAACCTGGGAGGTGGAGGTTGCAGTGAGCCAAGATCATCCCACTGCACTCCAGCCTGGGCAACAGATGCAGTGAGCCAACATCGTGCCACTGCACTCCAGCCTGGGCAACAGAGTGAGACCCTGTCCAAAAAA